CATAGTCAGGCATCTAATCACCAACACACCAAGTCAGCCGCCTAACCCGTTCAGCCACCGCGACTTCCACAAAAATGGAAGTCGGACAACTGGTAGTCTAGACTGCGGACTTTATGTACCCCTCTGAGAAGTGTAAATTGGCACTGCACCCGCGGTCGAAAAGTGTGAAAACACAATGCCATTTAAGAAAGTGGTCAAATGTAAGATATGCTATTTTTGGGATTACACTTTCTTAGTAAATTACAAATTCTAAAATTGTATTGTGTAAGTATACATGAATCACGCTCTCCATCCACATGAAATATGCCATACCTTCCTTAAACATGAAATATGCCATACCTTCCTTAAACATGAAATATGCCATACCTTCCTTAAACATGAAATATGCCATACCTTCCTTAAACATGAAATATGCCATACCTTCCTTAAACATGAAATAGATCATACCTTCCTTAAACATGAAATAGATCATACCTTCCTTAAACATGAAATAGATCATACCTTCCTTAAACATGAAATAGATCATACCTTCCTTAAACATGAAATAGATCATACCTTCCTTAAACATGAAACACGGTATTCCTCCCATCCACACAAGGCACGGCAATGGTTATCCACATACCATTCCTTCCATCCACATGAAACATGGCATACCTTCCATCCACATGAAATAGATCATACCTTCCTTAAACATGAAACACGGTATTCCTCCCATCCACACAAGGCACGGCAATGGTTATCCACATACCATACCTTCCATCCACATGAAACATGGCATACCTTCCATCCACATGAAATAGATCATACCTTCCTTAAACATGAAACACGGTATTCCTCCCATCCACACAAGGCACGGCAATGGTTATCCACATACCATACCTTCCATCCACATGAAACATGGCATACCTTCCATCCACATGAAATAGATCATACCTTCCTTAAACATGAAACACGGTATTCCTCCCATCCACACAAGGCACGGCAATGGTTATCCACATACCATACCTTCCATCCACATGAAACATGGCATTCATACCTTTCTTATACACGAAACATGACACTCCTTCCACCCACATGAAACATGGCAAAGGTTAGCCACATGCCATACCTTCCATCCACATGAAACATGGCATTCATACCTTTCTTATACACGAAACATGACACTCCTTCCACCCACATGAAACATGGCAATGGTTAGCCACATGCCATACCTTCCATCCACATGAAACATGGCATTCATACCTTTCTTATACATGAAATATGACACTCCTTCCACCCACATGAAACATGACAATGGTTAGCCACATGCCATACCTTCCATCCACATGAAACATGGCATTCATACCTTTCTTATACATGAAACATGACACTCCTTCCACCCACATGAAACATGACAATGGTTAGCCACTTGCCATACCTTCCATCCACATGAAACATGGCATTCATACCTTTCTTATACATGAAACATGACACTCCTTCCACCCACATGAAACATGGCAATGGTTAGCCACTTGCCATACCTTCCATCCACATGAAACATGGCATTCATACCTTTCTTATACATGAAACATGACACTCCTTCCACCCACATGAAACATGGCAATGGTTAGCCACATGCCATAACTTCCATCCACATGAAACATGGCATTCATACCTTTCTTATACACGAAACATTACACTCCTTCCACCCACATGAAACATGACAATGGTTAGCCACATGCCATACCTTCCATCCACATGAAACATGGCATTCATACCTTTCTTATACATGAAACTTGACACTCCTTCCACCAACATGAAACATGGCAATGGTTAGCCACTTGCCATACCTTCCATCCACATGAAACATGGCATTCATACCTTTCTTATACATGAAACATGACACTCCTTCCACCCACATGAAACATGGCAATGGTTAGCCACATGCCATAACTTCCATCCACATGAAACATGGCACTCATACCTTTCTTATACATGGAAAATATCACTCCTTCCACCCACATGAAACATGGCAATGGTTAGCCACATGCCATACCTTCCATCCACATGAAACATGGCATTCATACCTTTCTTATACATGAAACATGACACTCCTTCCACCCACATGAAACATGACAATGGTTAGCCACATGCCATACCTTCCATCCACATGAAACATGGCATTCATACCTTTCTTATACATGAAACATGACACTCCTTCCACCCACAGAAACATGGCAATGGTTAGCCACATGCCATACCTTCCATCCACATGAAACATGGCATTCATACCTTTCTTATACATGGAAAATATCACTCCTTCCACCCACATGAAACATGGCAATGGTTAGCCCCATGCCATACCTTTCATCCACATGAAACATGGCATTCATACCTTTCTTATACATGAAACATGACACTCCTTCTACCCACATGAAACATGGCAATGGTTAGCCACATGCAATACCTTCCATCCACATGAAACATTGCATTCATACCTTTCTTTTGCATGAAACATGTCATACCTTCCACCCACATGAAACATGACAATGGTTATCCACGTGTGACATCGCATCACATCTTTCTTCCACATCTTACATGGCATACCTTCCTTACACATGAAACAAGATCATTATATTTGATAGTTATAAACACATGCTCTGTCATAGTACCTTATGATGCCAATCACTGGATTGTCGATTATTTACAGACCGCTGCAATACAGCTGCAATATTGACAAGTGTGACGTCAAACATACAAACGAACAATCAAACACGTGCTCATAATATAGTTGACATTCTACAATCAACAATGCTCCAAACAGAGATTTCTTATGTTTTATGGATGGGTGAGGGTTTTGCCGCTTTTATTATATTTTCCTTAATTACTCATTCCCTTACGATTGCAAGACGGAAAGCTAGACCGCTTCTTCCCCTCTTCATGCGTTGTGCAGCTGTCTTGTATTCATATACATATTTCTTATCGTATCCTTTACAATCAGGAAGTACCAAATTGGGGCAAATGACCCTTTCTTCAATAGCATATCCTTTACAATGAGTAAGCACCAGAATCGTAGTCTCCGTAATAGTGTATATATAATTATGTAATATCGCTATATACATGTACATTACTATAAGAGGCTCATGTGTGAGAATTTCTTTCAATATGTTTCGGGATTTATTTTTTTCACTTGACTAGAAAGTCAGACCAAAAGCCACCTATGTTTACTGTGTACATTTACATATACCATATTGGTGAAGTAACAGCATTCATATGTTTAGAATTCTACATTAACATGATGATATTTGTAGAGTGATAGAACATTCACATATTTAGAAAGTATTTCAATATCCTCAAGGTGACATTTGTTAAGTAACAAGACGCATACGGAGAATGCAACGGTGTGGCATATATTCGTTCGTTGTAAGGTTAAAGCTTCCCACTGTCACTATACCGAATCACTGCCTCGATATACGTCTCCATACAGGCGGTAAACTCTACACTTGCATAACATAAGAAAAGATCATTGGATTAGACCATAACTAATACATTATACAAATAATAAGGACATGTTTTCTCTTGCGTCCTTATAGACACTGCAGGAGTACCCCTTCCAAGCGAACATAAAGATGGACTACCAATACATATATGCACCTAGCATTCATTAGAGCCCTGAAGCAAAGCTAGATAACACAGGCTACAGCTGGGAACGTGCATACAGCTCAACACAGCTATATGGCCTAACGGTATTGACCCACTATCACGGCTAGCTGTCCTAGTTTCAGCTGACAAAATGGCGTGAGGGGTGGATACCCGTCCTGCACAATCTGCCCACCGCCGGATCCGACCCAGTGAGTATGTATTTAGAGCTGCTGTTATGACAATTTAGTTTTCTTGTTACTCCACGAAATGTACATAAATGCATATATGCACCTGTGTACGTGGCCGTCTGTTAAACATATTTACACTGTTGAATTTGAAGGTTGCAGGTTGCTAAGAAGGTTGTCTACCTTCCAAACTAAAGCCCTCCCTTTGAGCTCAAACCCATACATAATAACAACAAAGTTTTATGAGTTTCAAAGTTTTATAAGATATACTTTAAGAAGTTCAACATTTCTTTCTGTTCTTTCATGCCGAATAATGCACCTGTCAAATGCACAATTTAACTAAAACTGTTTTTATGGAAATAGGTTAACACGATAAGCTCCTATTTAATCATTGTACATGAACTCCCCTTTCTGTTATATATCCAGTTTTATTGTACCAGCTGCAGAAATTGGTTCGTACTGAATATGCATTAAGTCTATGAATATTCAATTTTGTGACGTCATGCAGTTTTACAGCCATGTTTGTTTGACCTCTGACTCGGTGATGCAAAGCTTGTATCTGAAAATATTAGTTTGACATTATAACAGAATATAACTTATGGTATATATTTTTTCATAAACATCAATATCATTTTACAGTAATTGTCATTCACAAGAAATTGAAAGCGTATTCATTTCTTCGTGTTAATCATTAATGTTATTTACATAAACTGTATATTGGTCGTATCATAAAACGTAAAGGCAGAATCCTCGACACACGTCGTTTTCAGAACTAACTTCCATGTCCTCACATATCCAATACACATCAACAAGTAGTACATGCACGTTGGTAGAAATATCATTTTATATACAAAAACACGTACAAAATAAAGAGGAGGAACACATATTAAGGATTCGCAACAGAAACGACGTTTCGGTGTAGATCAAGCAAGTGCAATGTTCTAAGCAAGCACTTGCTTGTTAACGGATAAGCATCAGAACTGAAACGTCGCATCCATTGCAGTACAGAAAACGTGTTCCTCTTCAACATACCAGCTTTTAATGCCGATTAAAATAGGGCCAAGGGCTGCAATGAAGCCCTTAAATACTTCACATTCGGGGAATATCGAGGCAAAGTCCATGTTGTTATTTGGCATGTGATGAATCCGTCAAGACAAACCACTACACCGGAAGCAATGTCATGAGGTCATCCCTATCACGCATTGTAGTAACAGTCTCTTTAGCCACAATTCACTTTACAGTGTTGCGTTCTTCGGAGGTACCACTGCCCTAGGGTTGTAGATACGCCAGGCTGACACGTCAAAATGTAATTGGGTGCACCACTCCCAAATTTCGCACAAAGGTCCTGTTGTCCTAGGAGGTCCGAGGAAGAATTTCAGTGAGCACCATCGTTGACTGGAATACCTCGGTTCAATTCATGGTCTTGCTCTTCCTGTCTTTTTTCCCTGGCGTCTAAAAAATGAAACCCGTGTAATCACTTTGGCAGTCAAGCAGATATCAGATTCTACAAAAAGTTACCACGCTGTTTTTCAAAAAAGGGTTGGAACTGCTTTACTCGTTAATGTGGCATTGAACACCGCCGTCAGCAGTATCCAAACGCCTATTGCCTGCACAAGCAACCAAGTCAACGAGTCCAACCACCCGTCCAGTTTAAAGATGAGTCTAATTTTAATCATAGTCTGTATTAGTTGTTTTTTGTACAGAATCCTGCAGAAAACTCATCCAAATGGTTTTGACGGGATGTTTATAAACACACTGCTTTTTCAGCTCTGATAAAATTGAGGCTAAACAGCTAACAGAAAGGACATGCAGTAGTCATAAAAATATATATTATAAATGTAATTGCAGGTTAATGTAACTGATCGAAACGATATAGTAGATACCATCTCCATACAACTATTCATGTGAATGGGGCGGTAGGGTAACCTAGTTGTGAAAGCTTTCGCTCGTCACGCCGTAGACCCGGGTTCGATTCCTCACATTGTGCAATGTGTGAAGCTTATTTCTTTTGTTCCCCGCAGTGATATTGCTTGAATATTGCTAAAAGCGGCATAAAACTATACTAACTCACTATAAACGGGACAATATTACCCGTACAATATTTAATGCATACGTACGTCCAGTATACAGCATTGGTGCTGATGTGTCCTGAATTTGACATGGAACTGTTGTATCACGATTCCGTCGACTACGACGTATCAGTGCTCCTGCAATAATACTGATGGTTATAATGCAGGCAGCCACCGACACACCAATCGTGACTCCGTCTATCGACTTAGTGTCCTTGTCTTTGATATGTGCAATGTCTTCAGGCTTCGGGAGGACATCGTGGGAAGAGTTGTAACCTGCAACACGAAAGGCACTAATACAGTATACAAGTTCTACTTGGTATTTACAGTGACTCTGGGAAAATAGTATTTTGTTACGAATCGGATAACGAATGTTACCGCATACAGAAAAAATCACTCTTTCTAAGTGATTGATATGTGTGGAAATATTTGTGATGAAATAACGAAAAAAAATCATTTTAGCTTTGGAATTGGATCCTGCTTGAACTTGACCCTGATGTTAACAGCATTCAATCAGCCTTACCATCCGGTCCTCCTGTAAGCAGTAATTCTTATGAAACCTGTGGGCTAATCTGCCTCGAAATCAAACGGGGTTATTTTATAATTGTAAGTTTATTTTTTATTCTTGGATTAACCATGAAGTTCTGCTTTTTAGCTCTTCGCATTTGGGATACGACGATATGCACCAGTCACGTCAGTGACCTAGACTAGTCTCTCATTATATAAACTTTAATGGAAATTTTAATTTAAATTGAAAAGGAGTCCATCTGAAAAGGAAGCTTCAGATGAACCTGATGATATCTTGCTTTATTGTAGACGGGCTTGGCGGAAGGGAACATAGTGTGGTTCGAGGACTGTGAGACAAATTAAACTGAGCCTGACCCTGTGATCCCATTAATCACGTCTTATCTCGGTTGTATAGGATCAGTTCTAACCAGGATCTTCAGGGATAGAGCAGTTTGATCACCTCATAAGAGCAGACTGGTGTACTGGGGTCACATTTCGTTTCCGTACGTTGTTGTGGTAAGCAGTGGTAGTATCACATGTATATTTTGTGTGATAATTTGAGTCTTATGCACTTAAGGATTTGGAAATAAAGGTTTTATGATTTTATAAACAAATGGATCAATGTTATGGACAGGGTAAATTCTAGAATTGCATTGGTTTAATCCAAAAGAACGGACAAAATATCTGCCACAGTTGAAATATGGCATTTGGCCATATATCCAAGAGAAGCATAGAAAAAATGAACATTCATCATTTTACAACGAATTGTATCAATACAACTCCAGACATCCTAGTTAAACATTTATATAATTGAATAACTCATTTAATTCTCCACTGGGCTCCATACGTCGTGTCATTTATTAACACGCGTGTTTGAGAACGCACGATGTAGTGCTCATTCAACTGGTAGCCATGTTGTGATAGACAGAAACCACGTGGACCCTCTCTTTCGTTCCGCCGCAATGAATAGACATCGAATGGGATAACAGTTTCAATCCTCCCTACATCGAAGATGAGCAAATGCATACAGATATTATACATATTCATAATGACATACATTGTCACGTCTGTTTAAGCAAAGCACGGTGTGAGTAAAGTTTGACAAATTTGACAGACAGAATTTTAAAGCACCTGGACCCTACCTAAACCCCTGGCGCGATTAATAAAAATCGAATTGGATATATACTGAAGCCTCTCTCGCGAGGGAGAGAAACTTTAACTGAATCGTCAAACTAAAACAATAGGTATTTTTTTACCAACCTGGGCAATTGCTTTGACATGACATGACCGTCCCTTGTTGTTCCATGTAGTTACATATACTAGAACACTGATCGCACTTTCCAAGGGCGTGGTCCCAATATGTCCCTGGGGGACAAATGCCCCTCCCTTCCACAAACACCACAATCAGGGTGAAACAAGCAAAGGAACTCGGAGACGTTATCGCCATCCTAAAACTTTCCAAGCATAGCCTGTTTCGGAAGTTGAAACAGCGAATGTTATGAACTATGACATCAAATCTGATTGGCTGACAGAGATTACACCCTTAGGAGGTTTTAACAGATGTGTATTGGATATGGTATCGGTGAAAGCCGTAGATGAACACTTACAAACACAGTGAAAGGAAACAGATTTTGTACAGATGCGGGCTTTTAGATTTTTTAAATTAGGTGAACCCTACGTATGCCACCTTTGCAGGTTATAGATCAAGTGTATACACTGTATATACTTTAACGTCCTGGGTCTTGTCATAGGCTAAGTGTCATCCTCAGATAAAATACAATAATCAAAAGAACAAATTAACATAAAACAACCATTACTCATATAATGTATGTATAGATGATTACATACATTATTCATTAATTTTATGATATAATTGTTGGCTAAATTGTGATTTTTGCAGTGTTAATACACATCAAATAATCATGGGACAATATGAACGAGAGATGATTTTTATGCAGAAGCATGTACAATGTCAATGACCCCCTAACATTTACGTACAGAGTAAGTAACCCCCCCGCATGTCGTATACAATATCAATGACCCCCCTCCCTCCCCTTCCCATAACTTTTCATCATAATATTTTGATATTTGTATGTGCAAAATTGCTGACACCCCACCCAGCCCCCAAGAACATGTGTACAAAATTGCTGACCCCCTTCCTCCCCAGAACAAAATGGGTGAACCCCCTCCCCCTTAAAATCATCATAACACCCCCACCCTCACCCCAACCATAAATTATGAACGGTCCCTTAGGTAAAGGCTATCCAGGTTTCCACGATTGCAGATAACGCAAAACAATCTTGGAAGTATTCAAATGTTTAAAATATAACGATGTCGTTACCGTGGTTGATACAAAACCTGGTTTAACCGAGGGTCTTCAATGGATGCATGTGAGTAGGTCACAACTTTCAATTGTTGCACACGATGTATACATTTTTGTATTCTAACGTACGTTACCATGGAAACAACTGTGTGACGTTACTTGTCAGTTAACATGGGAGGATAGTCAATAATCACATGTCGATTACCACATTACCATAGCATCACACAGCTGGTTTCGAAAACAGCTGCTGCTCATTTTGAGGTACGATAGACTTTATTTATGCAGATTTATAGTTACTAACCTGTACCAATTTGCTTCATAGACCATAGCTCCAAGTCAGTCCATTTAATGTTGTCAAGTATCTATATTAAAGAATATTATTGTAAATGGACAAATCATATATAATATGTAATATATTTATTTACCTAAATGATCACATGTTACCTAAATATTCTACTGTGAAATGTTGTTCCTGTACGAACGATGGTAGTTTGTTCGAATAAAGAATATTGAAATTGACTAAATTGTTTAATGTAGCAAAATTGTTTGTTCTGTCGTTCTCGGTTTCATATAAATATTTGATTTAGGCACAATTCCACAACGATCCCGCACGAAAAATCCCATTCCTTGATAAATGGGGTATAACGTGGTGAACAAAGATATACCTACATATCTATCTTCCAGGGTTCAGGACAGTTTGTCAAATATGAAAACAAATGTCTTTTAAGTATACTGAAACAACATAATTAATATATCTATGTTTAATGTATGTATACTTGATTTTAACTCCATTATTAATTGGGAATATACATGGTGCTAAATGCTGAATTTTTCAGTAATAATGTGACAATATGAACAGATTTTGTAACAGCGACAAGATGATTCCATGCCCCATGTTATCTTGATATTTAGAATAACCCGAGATAATCTTTCCAAGAATTTAAATGCTTCAAATGTTCCAATCATTATAACGGTGTAAATAATGTATCTTAAACGGGAAAAGGAACACCTGATATAACATGAATCAGTTATATCACTGATCTGCTACACGTCATGTTCTTTGAGGACAGCGCATAAGCATCGATGAATCCATGACCATGAATAAAGATCTGCTTATCACTCGCGAAATAATACTCGAGGGGAGTTTTATGGTCTTTAGAGCACCTGTTACTCAAACAGAATGGCGGCTGGGTTGTTACATCAAGTGATCTGATTTATTGTTCGTCATTTTGGGGGGACTGACGTTGTTTGTGCTCATAACCACTGATTTAATGGACCACTGCACATTTTTTAGAGATTTTTTTAATCTTTTGAAATGTTCTATTGCAATATAATACATACGGAAATGGCTCGCATGCATCCAAGTACATTACCATCTAAGAGTTAAAGCATGAGGTTACAGTGGTGAATACAAAGCCTGCTTTGAATGAGGGTATTCCATGGCTGCATATGAATAGGACCTAACTTTCAATGTGACATCAAATTATCATACAAGATATATCTCTCTAGGTCCGTGTCTGAAAAGTTATGAATTTAAATATCTCTCCACATATCTCTTTCACCCCAAATTAGCATAGTCGACACACACCACCACCCCACATACGCACAACACATCGACGTATGTGTCATACACGGTACGGGCGGTGGGGTAGCCTAGTGGTTAAAGCGTCCACTCGTCACGCCGAAGACCTGGGTTCGATTCCCCACATGGGCACAATGTGTGAAGCCCATTTCTGGTGTCCCCTGCAGTGATATTTCCGGAATATTGCTAAAAGCGGCGTAACATTAAACTCAGTCAGTCAGTCATACACTGTACCAGGCACACACGGTACTTGAAGCATGTGCTGTTTGACATAACTATGACTGTGGATGTGCACAGCCATGAACATGTTCTACATTGTTCTTGCAGGGGTAGAGGCAGATCTCCTGTGTTTAATATGACCCACGTCATCGATTATCTGAAAGCTTTGGTTTGTTTTGGTGAAACTTTGTGTCTGTCATGCTGGAAACGTTGATCCCTAAGGAATCCGATATTGCTGCAAGTCCATGATCTTTGACTCACAAGTACACTTTGCTGAGAAGCAGATTCCCTAGAGTCGAAAACACACTGTTTCATATTCTTGAATCATTTCACACCTTAAAATGAGGATGAAAGGAAGACACACACACTGTGTACGTCCTTTTTCTTCTGACAGCACGTATGCACATATCCATTTGATACAATACATTAGCAACAGTGTATGGCAACCTAAACCTGGGGGTACAGCTGTTTATCAGACAAACTTGTTATACCGTTATCATGATTTTTTTTATATCAGGATGTGTTGTACATTGGTTTAACAGTAAACTGATAAATGTTGAAATGATGAAAGTAGAGTGACAAAGTGAGATTATCTACCGGTATGGCTGGACATGCATGGTTGTATTCTTACATTAGTTCCCCAAATAACTTCTACCAAGGTTCTCGTTCATAGAGCATAGCTCAAGTCAGTTCATTTAATGTTGACCAGTAATGAAATCGTTTAACATAGCAAAGCTGTTTGTTCTGCCATTCTTACTTTCATATAAATACTTGATTAAAATACGATACGACAACTACCCCACATGAAAAACAGCATTCCTTTCAATAAACGTGGTGAACAAAGATATACCTACATATGTCCATTCAGGTGTTCAAGACAATTTGTCAAATATGAAAACAAATGTCTTTTACTGTGACAACATAATGAATTATATATCTATATTAATTGTGTGTATACTTGATTATATACATTTTTTGTAAAGGATATACTTGTTGGCTAAATTGTTATTTTTGCAGTATTAGTACAAAATAATGTAAATAAAAATGACTATGCCATTTTCACCAGAACCCTTTCTGCTGCAAACTATTTAATCTGTAAAACGTAATGATGATGATAATCTGGAAAGATTTTGTAACAGTCAATTTCATATTACGTGTTAACTCGATTTTTAAGATAACCCGAGATAACCTTTAAAGTATTTAAATGCTTGAATTATAACAATCGCCATAACGGTGTAGATAATCAAATGACCTGGCTTATTGTTCATCATTTCAGTTGGGACTGGCGTTGTCCATGCCATTAACCGCTCATTGAAAGGACCACTGCTAATTGTCTAAGAGACTTTAATATTTTTTAATGTTCCATTGTAATAAATTCAAAGGTAATAGGAAGTCTCTAGATCTGTGTAACCCGTTAAGATCCAGGGTAGAATAGGTCTTCACCAACCCATGCTTGCCACAAAGGGCGACTATGCTTGTCGTAAGGGGCGACTAACGGGATCGGGTGGTCAGGCTCGCTGACTTGGTTGACACATGTCATCGGTTCCCAATTGCGCAGATCGATGATCATGCTGTTGATCACTGGATTGTCTGGTCCAGACTCGATCATTTACAGACAGCCGCCATATAGATGGAATATTGCTGATTGCGGCGTAAAACTAAACTCACTCACTCACTCTAGATCTGTGTCTTAAAAGTTGTGACATGAAATATCTCCTCCATATATCTCTCACCCGCACACACGCACAACACATCGTTGTGAATGTTGAACACGATACCAGACCAGCATGTTACCTTAAGTATGTCCTGTTGGACATTAATATGACGTTGTATGACCATTGTTGGTGCGGGTCTCTCTCAGTTCATCTCAAATCTAAAAAAGACAAAATTGTTAACACTGCAAGTAAAATCGCTAGAGTCAGATTTGAATGTTTATCATCAATATATGAGCGGCAAATCGTGAATCAAGCTGTCAAAATCATATCTGACCGAACTCACTACTTAAATTCGGAATACAGCCTCCTCCCTTCAGGCCGCCGCTACAAAGTTCCAATTGTGAAAACCAAGAGAGCCCGTACATCCTTTATTTCAAGTACCATATCACTTTTAAACAAAATTTTAATGTGAAGATACCTAAATCAAAGAATTTATGTAAATATGTTTGGTATCTCTCTAATGTTTCAGTAGCTCTGCTGATGTAACACAAATTCCTGAAAAGGCATTAAAGTATTATTCTATTGTATTCTATTTTATGGACATAATTATGTCCTGTGTTAAAATGACCCTCGCCATGGATTATCTGAAAGCTTTCTTTTCATTTGTGAAACGTTGTGTCTATCATGTTGGAAACCTTTATCCCGAAGGAATCCGATATTGTTGTAAGTCCATGATCTCTGACTCACAAGTAAACGCTGCTGACGCGACTGACACAGACATGACATCCAGAGCAACATCAACAGAGATTGGGCATGCCCAATCAACGAATCAGTTAGGCGCGGATAACATTTGATAACCCCGGCCTGTCACCCTTGCCAATGTCTTGTCTTATTTCTTCCCTTGATCATTTCTCCCCTACAATTTCACATTGTTTTAAATTCCGTACTTTAACATGAAAGCAACATATACTTAACGAATGATACTTGATTTCATTTCATATTTTATACCATATCTTAAAATACAGGTTGTATGATGGAAGGGTGGGGGTTGGGGGTCGTTGGGGGTATTGCCCAGTTGGAGCTGACCTTGGAAGTGGCCTAATAGTCGAGAACATCTGTTGTCATCTAATTATAACAGCTATTTTTCCGGTTACACCAATCAAAAAGGGCGTTTTTATATATTTGAAGAAACGCCATTTTGATCGAGAAAGTTGAAGGGTTGTGTGTGGGATATATATATATATATATATATATATATATATATATATATATATATATATATATATATATATATATATAATAACCTTGACCTTATAGTAACCTTTTTAGGGTTTATATTTGGTCTAGGATAATTATAATACCTAGAATTTGTTGTCGGGGAATTAGCTTGGGACCGCAACACCTTCAAATAACCAAGAGAAGCATCATTTAGTGGCCAGTCTTTGTTCGGTGCATTTCATGAATGAAATACCCCGAATAAAGGCCGTTATATATACCACCGATGTTCTCAGAGTTCGTGATATGGTCGCGCGTTCAATTGTCACTTCTTTAAACAATACTTACACATGCTGCTAATCTACACTGCTGACTATCCAGATCTTAAGTTCACCTCGTAGCTTTGAAAGACGTGAGAGTGCAGAAATGACCAAAATTATCTAACAGTTTTCTCGGAGAGCGTGTTATCATAGAGTAATGTTTACGTCTCTCTCCGGACGTGTCGTTTTAACAGTTAGTACATAAGGCTTATCTAGAAAACTTGGGAATGAACACGAGCGTATATCGATACTGACAGATTATAGACTTGGGCCGGACCATGCATGTAGTCTTAAAGCTTAACACATAATGCTAATTATCTTACAACTTGGAAAATGAAGATCAACACTAACTGAGACAGCGTTTAGTATTCTCGTTATTGAATAAAATATACAAAATGTGTTGTTTAGTCCTATTTTATAAAGTCACAATTATTTATATAAGACTGAGGAAAATATGACTTATTTTAGAAGTATGATATATAGTTTCAGAATTACGATCGTCGTTTACCCGACCGCAGTATCTCCACTACAGCCCATAATCATTCTGATCTGTGGAATTTGTTGCATGTGTGTTGGATCAGACATGACTGAGTCATCATACGTTTTGCAATTTGATTACATAAAACAATCAAATTATTATAAGACACAGTTTTCTTTGCTGAAACGCCAGAGGGCTTCCATATTGTGTGAATGATTATGAACTATACATTCTGAGATTGGAATATCACTCAGCCTTTGTCGGCTATGCTTTACATTACTTCAAAAACATTAACTTATCAAAGCTGTTCATGTTATTCATACATACAATTTTTTAATATTTGATTTACAGCAAATTACCAAACCATTAAACAGCCACAAATGTTAAATTATTGGAATGAAGTGAAAGGTGATGAACTTCACTACCACTCGTTGCCCCAACTTGTATAAAAAAATTATATTCAAGGAGATTAATAAACATAGAGCCAATTTCACTCCTTCATATTTTATTCTTCAGGGAATAATATGATTTTACTCCCTGAAAAAACTAATGATACATGTAGGAGTGAAACTGACTCTGTGTTTTAATATATTTAACAGTGTACCTGTGAACTTTTAACAAATTATCCAACAATTTCTGTTAATGTATTACGATCATTTTAGCATACCAGAGTGACTTAAACGGTTTGTCGAGGCAATGCTACACACGAGTAGTAAGTTCCTACAAACATATTTATGTATCTTGTCAGTTAATGTGGGAGGACAGTGAACAGTCTCACATGTGAATAACCACTTTTGTTAAATCCACGACGTGGATTTGGATACCAACAAACCAATCTAAATATGTTATTGAACCCGCCTCCAATTGACCATGGGTCGGACACACACTGCTGAGTAGCAATAATAGAACTGATCTCCAGATAATGTGACATTAACTCTACCATATTAGATTTATTAAAACACAACGTATCGCTCAGCTGGCACAAGTTAACACTACTGTATTGTGAAGTACGACAGCTTTCATCAATACAGATATACAACAATTTCTCGTTCATCGATTATTGCTTTAAGTTAATGCATTTAATCTCAACAATTGATTAAATCATTTAGTAATTCAAAGTTGTTTTCTTGTTGTCCCCTTTCACATAACATTTGCTTTACACATAATACCTTAGTTTACATCTCAAATGCTATTGTAAATTAGGATATGTATTAAAAATCAGGACACACTGATAAAACCGACAATACATTACTTCAAGTAAGGATATAGTCGATGTACAGGTGATAACTGGTAAAAAGGCTACATTGTATTCTATTACAGGTATTTAGCTTCTTGCAATCAGTATTGAATAATTTGATCATTGCTCCGTATGACTGAACTGCCCTCTGTCGACAGTGACTATAACAGTTCTAGTAGTCCAATATTTTATTGAACAGTGCAAATGACTTCACTGACTTCAATAATCGGAATAATAATAAGGCAGGTTTTCCCACATGTCATCTTATAAAGGTCTTTGTCTTTGTTCCACCAATAAGACAATATGACTCAATATAGTCTTTTCTCTCAATGTATGGCAATGCCATGCACCAGGTGATATCATTATGATTTCGTCTCCTTAGCATCAAGGTGCATGAGAGGAAACTCTCGATCTTCACTCCTTGGCACACAGGACAGGACAGTCAGGCTTTACTGGTGATCTTAGAGCCACCGAATTCTGTGGAGATGTCTATACATCAACACACAAGCAGTAAAACCCTCTGGGTCAGTAAGATCCTTGTTGAGTAGTGTCATATCTTGCACTGTAGGGGAGATCAGAGAATGCTGTGGGAAATTTGGTATCCTCTTCTACTGGTAGCGGTAACTGTTGTTCCTCTGAAAACAATAATTATTGTAAATAATACTTTGTGTACCTTATGTACATGTAGTAGTTACATGCGTGTTAGATTTAAAACAAACGGTTATGCATGGATGATCATTAATTTATGTTTTGTGTTCTCTATAGAGCATAGACTGCTCAATAAGGAGTACTAATGGCTTTATAAAAACAGCATGATGTGATTTTAATACATCCCAAATGAGTATTACCTATTGGAACTACATGGAAGCTGCTGTCGGATTCTTCAGTGCATTGAATTGATGGAAGTTCTACCAGTGTGTCATCGTGAACAGGTTGAACAGGTGTGTGTCTGCGACTGACACGCCGACGACGGTAAACGACGATCCCGACCACCACACTGACCACCACTACTGCTGCGAACACAGGGAGTACTACAGGGAGAATACTTCCCTCGTCGCCTGTTGTCTTCTTGGTCAAATCTTTATTGCCTTTTTGTGAAACGAAATAGCAGCATTTCAGTCTTCATAAATCATGTGCTGATATGTTTATGAATAACAACAGAAAGCACCATACACATGTTACAAGAATTTAACATTCATTGTCTTCTAAAGTAGAACATCTGTCATTGATGTGACAATACTTATCCTCTAGATGTATCTAAAACCCAAATACCAAGGCCATGCATAACCATAGGAAACATCATAATTATGAATAGCGGGATTATATTATACTAAGTGTATTTCTTGTCGTAATAAGAAATTAAGAAAAGGACACATACCAACTTTCGATTCACTCGCAAGCTTCAGTGTGTAGGCATCTGTAAAAGAACGTGATTGCATCCATGACAAGGTACCCGGTTTGGAACTCTTTATCACTATGTCCTCCTCAGAGTGCACATAAGACCACGTCTTTCAAAATGTATTATTTCTATAACATTTTCATTCGTAGCATATGTGTTCGTTTTAACTTTGGCTAAGTGTCTCATATTCGCGAACATCTGAAGGGAAGATGTAAATCCAGCTAGGGTCCATGCAGGTCTTTAAGTCCCTATAGTCCCTAGTGTGGTTATCTACTTTGTAGTCTGTTTTTTATATTGTATTGACTTCAAAAGTAAAATAGTTTTTACATTGACATCTGTAATACTCTAGTTATTTTACAGTCTTTCAATGACTGCAATTATTACAACTTGTATATATTATGCATTCGAAACCTTTCTCGTCTCTTTCATATTACGTTAAATTTCAACTCACTCACTTTTACTTTACTAATTAAGTGTCAAATGTCAACCGCCGGCACAAGAAAAATATAATGCAGAGACCGGATAAACTAATTTCCATCGAATCCCCTTTTTACCCTCTTTACTCATCTTTTGTGGAGACGAGGAAACCTCCATTGTATAATGCATACTATGTTGAGAGTCCAAATATACATCGTATCGAACTCGGGCGAACGAACAGATGATAACAAACGTGGTTAATATAAATAGGGAAATTAACCTTAAAAGGACCTGTAGTTCATGGCAATGATAGTTACTCTTTCATCCTGTTTATACTCAACTGTAGATAGACTTAATCAAAATATAATAACACATTCATACCGGGACAGTGTTTCCGGCAGTCGTCTTTAGTTCCCTTTATGTTCATGCCCTGGCATATATCTGAACATGGGTCACAGTTTCCAGAACCAAAGTCCCTGTATGTCCCTATGGGACACTCCTCAGAGCTGTAAACGAGACAGGCGTAGCCACCCCACAGAAGTCCTAACACCAGCAGCCGGCACATGCCTGTTGGCATAACATTCAACACTGACCTGAGACGTTAGAATGAACTCGTGGGAATGATAAGTAATTTCTATACCGGCTAGGAAAATCAACAGATATGAATGGCTGCTCCGGTGTGTGATTAACCAATGGTATATTGTGGATATGACCTGGGAGTGTCGGTCGTCACACAGTTATGTATGATTGACATACGCGGTTTGTTAAAAGTCACCCGCGCATCCCAAGGAGGGATAGGTCTGCCGACATGCTAACCGGCGAAGGCGACCTCCAAAGCATCAAACACAACAACAACGATAAAAGTGGCATGTGGCGGTTGTAACTGAATCATTCACGCACGTCTTTAAAAAACAGCCGGTTTTTATTCGCCGGTTGGGCGCGTGAATATATTTATGAAGTCAGGTGAATAGATGAAGGCTGTGTACATAACGTCAGTCCTTCATTACCTCTCCAGTTACCCTCCCCCAGCCAACCCTCCCCTCCCCCCCCCAAACAAAATCGATAGTGTTCGTGGTATCAGTATCCTCGAGAGTAAGGAGAGATTTATCATGGAAGTTGAAAGGGTTTTGTCGTTTTTTTACATGTACTGATGCGTTTCATTGCCAGTAAACCTGTACATAACTGAAATACGCTGCCATGTAGGAGATGCTTGGTGTTTACCTCCCAATCAATTCTCCTTCAACCCCATGAGATTTGTATGATATTTTAACAGCAAGTATGACAATAATGTTTCCTGTCACCGCACTCTGCTGTCATATATTATTTTGATCATATTTAATGCCCAGACCTGCATAGTGAACCCCACACCCTACACAATTCAGTTGTCAATCCCATTCCGTTCCTTCCACAGACAACGGCAAAATCACTCCATTATCCATTATTCCAATGACTACTTAACTGTGTTCAAATGTTCAGGTTGATATAGTTTATAACACTCAGCGTTTGGTCACAAGCTGATGTTTAGGGTAAGGGCAAGCTCGTGATTTCGGCCATCACTATAACCATTACATCCATAAAAATGCTCATGGGTGTCTGTGATATTAATTCATGAATCATAACTGATTCCAAATCTGTTTCTTTAGGTCGATAAAGATCTGTTGTTTCTTGTTTCAGTTTTGGAGGTTCTGTATCTGTTAAATGTGACATTAATCCAAGGGTTTCATTATACATGTATACTCAAGGGAATGAGACATGAGTAAAGTCAAAGAGATTATGCAGCACTTACTGCATATGCAACCATTCACACTTACCCACAAGTGTTGCAGAATAGGGTACGGTATGTTTTATGTCAAATATTCTACCATGACTTCAGTAAACACTGGAATGTGATTGGTTAAATAAAGTAATTCAGAGGTATATAATCACGTTATTAGTGAAAAACGGAATTCGTCACATATAGCATGATTACAAAGATTACAAAGTCGGGTATATTTCAAAATATTTAACAAGCGCCCTGTTTCTATTGGTAATCTATGATTTGTTGTCCTATATTTTGTTAACCAAATTCTACTTTGAAAGGGTAATTTAAGATATTTAACATCGATTTGTACTTATGTATAGCTGATCCAGTTGTGACTTGGCTGGTCGTGTTCAATTGCCCGCAATACGGAAATGTGCTTTTATCCCAAGCTCATGAATCCATGTTGTCAATACTTTGGGAAATCTCTGCTCTCTTTTATTAATGTGATCCCATTGAATGGCCAGACCTTTGTATTCCTCGTATCACCTACCCTAAACTAAACAGTTGTCGGTCTTTTATTTTTCCCTCGAGAACACGGTTAGTGTTATTCAAAACCCATCAATGTTTAACTCTCATATCAAATACTCAGGTTAATTTGGCCCATAACACCTAGCATTTGGTCCCGAACCTAGTCCATTATTTCGACCATCACCGCATACATGTGATGTCTCATAAAAATGGTCATGAGTGTGCAGATACAGTGTGTAATACTACACACATATTTGTATTTCTACGATTATAAGATGTCTTGTTTTCAAGCTTCTATATCTGCTAACACCAAGCTAAGGTATTCCTTATTTCACGTCACATTATTCAACATATATTCAGTTGAATTGGACACCAGTCACACCGAGCGACATCATGCAGCACTTATTGCACATGCAGCACAAGCCATATCATAACCCTGGGTGAAAATAGAATAATTTAATATCATTATATACACTGATATATGTAGAAAGGCATATCAGATTTCAAAACAAAACCAGATTGGGAACAACACTCACACACTATGTACATATGTCTATGTTCAAAATTTACAAGAGTGAATGGAATGCATAAATTGGTAACTGATGTTAGGTACATGTCAATACGTAACTCCTTGCAAACAAAAATGTCTCAAAATGTATGAGATTCACACGCAATCACTTGTTTTAAAGACAAGAGTTTTTATGAATGCCAACTCTTGACAACCTCTTTATTGTGAAGGGTCACGACGTTTCGAAGTATGTTCTTACTCCTTTATGAGGTGAATGAAACAATTAGGGGAAAAAAAGCTATATATGTACATGTTGAAACAACAACGGTATAACAAAGGAAGCCAGTAGGTAATTGGTGGATGGACAGGTGGAAGCCAGGGATTGTTAATCCAGGCCTGATTGATAAGAAAAACAAATAGAAGCCAGGGGGTATAATTAGCACTAACTGGGTGGATGGACAAAAGAAAGCCAGGGATTGTTAATCCAGGCGTAGTTGATGAGGCAACAATAGTGGCATATAACAGGGTGGTAAGAACACAAATGGAAGTCAGGCCTAATAGTGATAAATACAAAGAGACCAGCAGTGATAGTAAATTAAATTAATAAGTCCCCAGCGCTAGGTATATAAATGGAAAGTTGTGTTGTTTGCTATGTGTGTTGGAATGATAGATCAATATTGATTATTTTTCTTTTTTTTTTTTTTGATGTTCTTATTACGAGATTTAGGTAACATTTTTGTTGGGCAGAAGAACTTCGTAAACGAGATAACGAAGATCAGAAGAATGACATTCAATTTTTTGTCAACTGTCCTGACGTTCCCAGACACAATGCTGTAGGACTTGGAAACCCGATCTGGCATAAATAACACTCTCCACAAGCTCCCCCATTGTCTAAATGTGACACAATATAATCCTTCCATAAGGCACGAATGTGTTTGACAGGGAAATATAACAAATCACAGCAGTGTCTCACATGTGTGAGTCTAAACTGACACTTCTTAATTCACAGAGACACAAGATATACAAACTACAACTTTAAGAACAAGTACTGTATATCGGAGATTGGAAAATCAGATTATAATTAACAATCATTTTCAAATTTTATGAAGTCTGTGAAATGAATACTTGCAAGTAATTTAACTAAATCTTCGGATTCCAGTTCCTGAAAATAAAGTCATTATGTCTGCATGCCACAATTTTCCAAATGGAGGATTTCTTGAAGTGAAATCTATTTGGAGAGTGAGCAAGTCACTCACAAACACACAATATTCCGTGTGAGACGTGTCCTGCAGGGGAGTGGTAGTCTGCAGGATGGGTTTAACCAGTATTCAGTAACATCTTCTTTTCAAAGAGACCAGCTGTTCATTGAATGGCAGGTAACATGAAAGGTACCCAGCTTCTCTCCTTACTGTCTTCATGAGTATGGGTACTTGAGATACAAGTTTCAACCTGGGTTAGGCATTGCTGCCATCCCCTGATGACTGACGCTGAAGCTCTGTTAAGCCAAACTCTGGATTTGGCATTTGAATTGTTACCGTCCCTGGGTTGGGTACTTCGTCTACAAATGAAACACATACAAGTACGAGGGTAATCTGCATATACAATATTCACGGACTAATTACTTCATCACTCTTGTGATTTCCTAGGATGCTACATACAAAATAGCTCTAGATGATCCAAGTGTCAGAGGTTTAAGTCTGGACACTAGGATGGTGTCAACAAAGTCATCCACTCAACCATCGCGGCTTCCACAGGTGGTTAGATTGCTGACTTTGTGTGCTGGCGATTAGGTGCCTGACTCTGAGAGTGTGGGTTCCAATCCCGGATGGGACTCAACCCCTAGAGTACTAGATTCTGTACTTCCCTCAGAAAGTGTAATCCTAAGTATATAATACTTTCTAAATGTGTATTCCTAAGTATATAATACTTTCTAAATATGTATTCCTAACCAACGTCACAACATGAGACTAAAATTCATTGTTAAATACTTGTGAATATGATTCATCTGTCAAAATATATGTATATTACATTCAAAATTAGAACTGTATTGTAATGTTATTCAGTACCAATAGAATTATTCATTGGCACATTGGAATGATATGTGTGTTCTGTGACCATGGACTTTAAAGCCCTAAACTGTACAGTAACAGCCTTTACACGACCTGACTTAGCTCATACTTACAACCACTAAGTGATGTCAGTGGTGAGGATCCGGGGCTATCTGTGTGACTCTCGGTGCACTCTACCGGTTTCTTGTAGCTACCAATAAGGCAGGGGAGACAGCGCTGTAGTCGTGATGGAAGACGATGTTCACAGAAACACACCATCAGGCCATACACGCTCACCAAGACAATACACAGACCGAGTATACAGCAGATAGTTATAACTGCGGGTGTGAGTTGTTGGCTTTCAATAACTTCAAAGTCTGAAATACAAGCATGAATTATATTGTTTAGAATGTATTATTATCATACGATTGGGCACCACTTACTGAAAGGATAAATACGTTAAAAATTTATCATAACGCTTGAAATCAGTTGATATCATCTGTTAGTCATTTGTGGCGTTATATTGACATAGTATCGTGGAAGACACACTGTCTATCTATGTAGCATAATGGCACATCGTTTAAAACATTTTTTATAGTTAAACTGAAATTATAACACAGTTTCTTAACACATGCCCAGTGAACATGTAATGAAAGCACTGCACGTAAATGTAGTATGTTAACGTTCTGGTGTGTGTGTGTGTGAATAAATTGATATTTTGAAGGTGAATATCGTATTAGATCATAATATATAAATGACACTCACATGTGGGAC